TAAACCCTGGGCCAGTAAAGCGGAGCATGTGAACTTAACGACACAGCCACGGGACCAGCGCAGTATGTGACCTTTTGAGATTGACTTTTTTTCACTCAGTACAATGCTCTTGAGATCCATTCAAGTTGTTGTGTGTATCAATGGTTCATTCCTTTTTATTGTCAAATAGTATTCCATGGTATGGTTGTACCACTGTTTAACATTCACCTGTACTTTTTGTCTTTAATAACGCTTTGTGTCTTAAAATTTATTTTGTGTCATATTAATTTGTCTATGCCAACTTCCTTTTGGTTAGTGCTTGCATGATATATTTTTCTATCCTTTCACTTTCAAAGTTTCTACATGCTTATCTTTTAGCATGGAGCTGGATTTTTAAAATCTGACAGTATCTTTTAATTAGTAAGTTTAGTCCATTTTCACTTACTGTGATTGTTAATACATGTGAGCTATGTGCTTCCTATTTGTCTTACTTTTTTGAGGCTCCACTTTTCTCATTTCTCACCTTTTTATGGCTTAATATTTTTCTTAGTGCGTTTTTTCCCTTTAATGCATCAGACGTTATATACTCTCTAGTATCTTAATGGCCACTCTTGAAATTTTACTATTTATATGTAACTTAAGTCTAGAGCTAATCAATATATTAATAATAGGTGAGAGCCCCAATTGCAATTAATTTGAACTGATATAAACTTATGTTCTTAGTCAAGCACACTCAAAATCTATGTCTCCTCTTTTTTTTTGTTCTGATATTGCAATATCACCCTCATACCTAAAGTGTTTTCATATTTCAAAGTATGAGTCTCAGTGAGGGCATATGAGGCAAATTGCTCTTTCTTTTCCTTATAAGCAGGGCACAGTGGGAACTCTTTTCTAAAGACCAAGAAAAGCTCAGGATTTCCTAGATCACCTATTTAGGTTACCATTGTCCCAAGTTTCACTAAGGAAATCTAGTAAAGTGGTGCATTCAACTCATATTACAATAAACAATAGAGAAGTCCAATTTCCAAACTCATTTTTCGAGTTGTCTCGGTCTGACAGCCTTAAGTGGAGAGAGATTCTTGCAGTAGGGTTCCCAATTGCTCTATTTTATCTTTTCCATTGAATCAGGTATTCCATAATTTAGTCTATTCATTGTTTTCACTGGAAGTTGCTCAGTGTCCTTAGAAACAAATATCTGATCCTACCCAATTCCTCTTCTCCATCAAATTGTTCTATGGGAGCAACTACCTTGTTACCTAGAACCTATTGTCAGAGGGAAAGCACTCTCAGTTAATCATAGGCTGTTAGTTTTCAACCCCGGCTTTGCACTTTGCCCACCTCAGCTCAAATATTCCATGTTTTCTTGAGAGTCTATTGCTTTTTACCGTATTTCTGGTCTTAGTCTGTAGCCTTTTGCTTAAGCACAAAAATGGAATATAAGGAAAGGTATTGTGATATATCTTACAAGTAATGGAAAAGTGGAATACTTGGCCTGATAAAGGGTGGAAACAAGGGCAGCTCCAGGGACTTCAAGAGCAGGAGTTTGTATCACTTTATCCTTGTGCTCTACCACTAGAATGACAGCCTTGTATTCTCAGTCCTTGCGTTTATCAATTTTTTTTTTAAAAAGAACATAATCACTTCTTGATCCAATTGTTTACCCAGACCAATAAATTAAAGCAAGGAAGGCGGGACTATTCAATGCAAACATGGTTGTGAGAACTGTCCCACTTCACCCAAGCCCTGGACACACAATGTAAAAGGTAAAAACTATAGTACAGAATGTCTAAGGAATGTTTCAACAGTTACGTTTCGGGAATAATAGAACACTATATAGCTGGTGCTAAATTCCTGGTGTCTACTATTGTTTTACTAAGTTAGATCTTTCCAAAGAACTACCCTTTTAAATGTCAGCCATACCTGGACTATGCCATTGATCTTTCACATGTGATGTGATTTAAGACACAAAAACTTAGACTTCAGGAAATGAAATATTTGCCTATTGTGTGATTCCTAGCTCATTCATAAGGCCAGACTACATACCTCTGCAGGGGAATAAGTTTCATCTGAAGGAGATGAAAGTTTCCATTGCTAATCAAGGCAAAGGAAGCTGGTTGGATTACCCAAATAGCTGGGATCAAGGTGAGAGACACTGATGCATCCCTCTTCAGTATATGAGCACAGATATCACCTCTAACTCACCCAGAAAAAGACATTATAGTTCCAGGATTGACATCTTTTCAGATTCTCCTTATTAAGGGTTCAAAAAATCTTGGGTCTAGCCTCACCCAGGTTCACCTTGTTACCACCGCAGTGATTTCTTTATTAAATGGCCACGGCTTTGATGTCATATAGGTTACAATGCTCACTGTAAAACCGAGTAAGATTAACATTAGGCCCTAGAGGCCGCCATCATTTCTCTCCTAAAAGGAGATAAAGGAAAAAGGCTTTCGTCTTCATTATCACCGCTGATCAATTTAGGAAAATCCTTAAGTATTGCAAGCTGTCAAGCCTATATTTGTGGATGCAAGTTTTCCAAAATTCTAATTTTGCTTGAAAACTCCAATTTTACTGTTGGCGGCAAATGCCACCAGTTGCCTTCCTTGAAGGCTCATCTCAATCATTTTCAAGAAAATGTCTGCCCAATACCATGTCTGAAAAGCCACAGTTTTTCTGCCAGCCATTCTTTCAAGCAAAAACGATGTTCCACGAAAAAGCAGCTAAATTAGGGCACAACTCAAATAATCATGCACGTATTTTTCTTGGAGACAACCACTGTGTTAAGCTGTGCAGCAGAAGTGCTCTGTGCACCCTTCTTATTTTATTACACAGAATAGTAAAAAGACAAGCACTTAATGGGGCTGGCCCCATGGCCGAGTGGTTAAGTGCGCATGCTCTACTTCAGCAGCCCAGGGTTTCACCCGTTTGGATCCTGGGCGCCGACATGACATGGCACCATTCGTCAGGCCATGCTGCGTTGCCATCCCACATAGCACAACCAGAAGGACCTACAACTAGGATATACAACTATGTACTGGGGGGCTTTGGGGAGAAAAAAAAAAAAGGAAGATTGGCAACAGATGTTAGCTCAGGGCCAATCTTAAAAAAAAGAAGACAAGACAAGCACTCAAGCATCGAGATTTAATAATATTAATAATTTTATGATAAATAAACACTCTATTAAGGACATTTTAAAATGAAACTGTATTTAAAAAGATTTTGAATGTGTGGTCGTAAGGAAATCAATCCTAGTACAGTTTGGGGACACTGCTTTGATCGATCTTAAGGCACCAGCAATTTTACCCACTACTCCTTTTGTACCATTAGTGCAAATGTCATCCTAATGAAAATAGCAAATACCATCTTAGTATTGTTTTGAAAATAATTTTGATCTTACAGTTTCAGGGACCTGCAGTGGTCTGTGGATTAGACGTTGAGAACCACTCATGTACAATATGATTCCAATTCTGTGTAAAAGTACAGAGAGATGGCTTAGTAAACATCTGAAAGAATTTTCATCAACTTGCAACTGCAGGAGCCTTTTTTGACTGATGCCACCAACTTTTACATATGGTGAATGTCTTTTCATGCCAATAATATAGAAGTACATCACAGTTTTTAATCGTTGGATTATATTTTACTGCATGGACATACCACCCATTGTTTAGCTAATTCCATAGTGGTAGGTATTTAAGTGGCTTCTAACTTTTCTCTTTTAGAAACAGTACTCAAATGAGCATCCTTGTATATTCCTCTGTGTACAATGATTTGATTCTTTCCTGAGGAAAAAAAATCCTACAAGTGGAATGCTTGGCTGAAAGGCGGGTACATCTTTAAAACCTCTTATGCAGATTGTCAAATTGCCTTCCAGATAAATTGTACCAGTATATAATATCAATGTGTCCCTTTTCTGTGTGCCTCCCTCCCAAGAGTCCCTATCTCTATCCCTGCCACAGCCTACCACACACTTTCACAAAAATGAGGATTTCGTGAGGGGTGTCAGGAAAGCAGGCTGGGTTTGGAGAATGTCTGGGATGTCTCCCATTTTCTTCTTCCATTGCTTCAGTGGGCCAGTGGGGAGAGGAAGGAAGATGCATCTGCTCTTAATTGAACTCAGAGGTTGGGGTAGGTTCCCATAAAGGCCTCACCACTGCCTCTCTTGGAAAAGAAGGCAGACCTAGACCGCTAACCATAGGGGGAAGAAAAACCCCACTCTTTGCACCAAGAGTCATTCTTTCTGTCACACTGCTTTTTCTCATCACTAGAAATGGTAACTCACTTTGGCATTACTTGGTTGCCAGAACTGCCCAAGAAAGAGGGCTTTCTCTGTTAGGACCTGCACCAGATTATATGGTTCTCCCTCTGTGGACCTACAGCCAAATCAGGTAGCAGATCTTGGTACTTTTTTTTACGTGCCTTTTGTTACCATCATTCCATAACAGTTCCTATAGACACCACCCCATTTTGTTCTTCATCTCATGCTTGGTTTATCATCACTTCCTAACAAATATTCTTGTTTCCAGTCTCCATACCTAGCCCCATCCTAGCTCCAATCCATTTTGCACATTGCTATAAGATTATTTTTCCTTTTGTCAAAAATGTCCAATAACTCCCAGAATATGACAGGATATTATTTCAATATCTCAGCTTGGGGTTCAGCATCTTCCTCAAACTTTCTTCACCCTGCATTTCCATCTTTATCCCTCATCATTCCTTTTCCCGTAGCTTCCATTCCAGGCAAACTGGTTACCTTCCTATCACAGGAACAGATTTCCCACCTCTGTGCCTTTCTTCAAGCCGTGTCCCCCTCCTGGAATGCCTGTCTGTGTTTTCTCATGCCATCCTTCGGGGCCCAGCTTGTGTGCCCTTCTTCCTTGAAGCTTTCTAGCAACGTTTGCTTCATTTAACCAGACAGCATATATTTGACAATGAACAGATGTCCAGATGTTACTGTTAGTAATCCTTTTGTATTTATGTACCTTATCTCTCCAGTTAGATTTTAAATTAAAGCACGAGAACAATTTTTTGTCACTTGAAACATACAACTTTATTGATGATACACAAATGAAGTCTTTGGTGGATAAATTCAAGTCAAAACAAATGATAGAAGTGTAGGCTACTCATGATGGACAGGTTCACTGTCAATTCACATAGAGGAACCAGTAAAAATATTTCCATTCAAGCAGCACGATTAAAATCACAAATGTGTTTTCAGTAAAAGAGGACTATTTATTTGGTATCCATAAAATGGTTCAGCTTAAAGCTGGAGACTGTCACAGATAACATCACTCTGGATGATGCATTATTCAAAACTGGCAGCTGAAAGGATCCCTTTACTATTTAAGCAAGTGGAAAAGCAGTAACTTTCAATTTTCATTGCTTCCAGACTGCAAAACCAAGAAATTTCTTCAAGTCTTTTAAGAGCACATAGCCAATCAGAATTTGTCCACTAGTTTTATAACTTTCACTTTCACCAAGAGGTCGTGGTGATCTGCTAAGGCTCGAATTTTCTTAACACACACTCCAGATGTAGTGCATAAGTAAAAAAGGGAACCTTTATTGAATTCTCTGTAGTTGAATACTTCTGCTCTGAGATTGTCGTAGATGATCTCAAATAGAGTAAGGGCATTAATAAGAATTTCTGATTCCACATAAGAATTGTAGAGGGAACTAAATGATGACGGCACTTGGGTACTGAGCAGTTTTTTTAACATATCTGGATTTTCAGCAAAATTCGAAAGTATTTTCAAAATCTCAACCTTGATTTTTCCACCTCCCTGAGATAACAAACGAAAAAAGTTTGCAATGGAATTGACAAGTAGGTGCTGGTAGTCATTAGTAATAGTCATGTTGGTTAAAAATTTTAGTCCAACTACCTGTACTGCTGAGTTCAGATTAGAGGCCATGATATCATCCATCACTTTATTCATGTATACCTGAAGCCGGCCCTGATTTTCGTAATTCTCACTCAGGTTATTCATGGCCATTAAGGCTTTTTCCTTAATGTGGGGATCACTTTTGTTGATCATGTTTGCAATAATTGGGAGGCCTCCCAATTTGCGAATTGTGTCTTGGTTGCACGAGTAATTGGCATTGTTGCTCAAAGTGAGCAAAGCTACCTGTTGGATGAAAGGATCATCCGATTTCTGAAGCAAAGCAAGGACTTTCCTGAGATCTCGGACACCCAGAATCTCATCAATTTCATAAGGAAAGGGGCGCTTCTGCACAGCAACGGGTCTCCTCCCTCGCCCTCTCTGCTGGGTCTCAGGCTCAGAGTCTGACTCAGACTCTGTGTCAGTCCACCCGGACTCCCCTTCCTCAGAATCGGGGACCTCTGCCAGGAAAGCTTGTCCCCCATTAGCAGAGGCTGCAGCAGCGGCTGCAGCCCCATCCCCAGGTCGGAAGCCCAGGCCCAATTCGTCTACTTCAACCTTGTTTTTCTTGCCTTTGCCCTTGCCTCCAGTCCGGGACCTAGTTCCACCCTTTGCTCCACCTTTGGGTACAGCTCCAGTCGCTGACCCGGCCTTAGGTATAGCTCCAGTATGAGCCCCAGGGGTTGCTTTCTTGGCCGCTGCCACTGTTCTAGGGGACCCTGAAGTCCCAGGAGCCTCTGCAGCCCCAGTAGGTGCTGCTGCCCCAGAGGGCGCTGCCAGTACGGGAGCCTCTGCTGCCTCAGTAGGCACTGGTGCCCCAGGAAGCACTGCTGGCACCCCGGAAGCCTCTGCTGTGCCAGGGACTTCTGCCAATTTGGGAGCCCCTGCCATTGTGGGGGTCTCTACAGCTGTGGGAGCTTCTGCCTCCCTGGGAGGTGGTGCCATTGCAGAAGCCGCTGTGGCCCCGACTACTGATTCAGTCTTAGACCCAACCCCGGCCCCTTCTGCCCGCTGGGCCTGACTTCCTCCCCCACTCTGAGCCCCAGCACTGGATGCAGCCTGGGCGACTGCCTCACTTCCAGCCACGTTCAGAGCAGTGGCTTCATCTTGGGCCCTGTTCTTTGCCTTAGTGCGGACTGGGGTTGGAGGACCAAATCCTGGCCCAAGGTCAATTGTGAATCCAGCCCTTAGTCCAGCTCTAGCCCTGGCTCCAGTCCCGGCCACAGCCCGGGTCTTGGGCTTGGCCAGTCTCTTTTTCGTCTGGTTTCTTCCCCTGGCGTATTTGTAGACACAGTACCAGGCACTAGCTCCAATCACTATCCCGGCGGCTACGCAGCCAGCATCCCGAACGCGGCTCATGTTGCAGCTGTAGTAATTCTCTGACCCAGGTCGTGGAGTTGGCTTGCCCAAGAGGGATGCGTGCACGTCTGGGTGAGGTGCTTCAGTTCAGGCTCGAAAGTTCCGCCGAGGCTGCAAACTGAGCAGGACCTGGGTTAAAGGATAGAAATGAGGCTTAGAGCTCTGGCTCTCTTCATGCCTACTCAGGCCTACTTAGAGGAGAGTCTGAGGACATAATGCTTGGCGGGTGGGCTAGTATACAGATACAGGAGTCAAGGCCTGTGTTTGCTGATTCAGGACCTGGGTTATCCAATGTTTTCTACATCTTCAGCCTTAGCCCACCCTGCTCAATGACAACACATATCACTTCCCAGCACCTAAGTGGGGGATGAGAGGCAGTATGGATGTCAAGAAAGCTGGTGGAGAGCATGAAAGACAGTAGAGATCCCAGATTCTGCTCTGATACCCCTACCCCCACTTCAAGGTCTCCAGATGGTGCTCATGCACCTACCAACCCACTGGCAGCAGAAGCAGTTTGCTCTTTTCCACCAGGCCTGTAGTCGTACACGGCCCAAAAGGCAGACAGACCTGCGGAGAGACCCCAGACAGGGCGTTTTTGGGTTTTTGGGCCTTTGGTAAATGGATTCCACTTCCTTTCCTGATTTGAATCCCTGGAGGCGAAGTTTGCCCCTCTCAGGGCTCCTCTTTCCCTATCTCTTCCTCTTCAAACCATTAATTAAGAAGGCGGATACCACACCCCTTTTCTTGCACCAAAAAGGACTGGCCAGGGGCACAGGTGTCTTGTAAAGAGGGAGATGATGAGGAAGAGGAGCCCCTCGTGTCAGACTCTGCTCTGGTTTCTGCCACACCCACACCAGGGGTTCCCAGACAGTTCCTCCGCACCCACTGACCTCCAAGGATTCAGGGATTTCTCTCCTTCCTTCAGTTCAGTTAGGGCTCCATCCTAAGGACAGACTGAAGGGCAGGAATATAGACAGCAGACGTTGGAGACTGAGAGCCTGGTGGATGGAACAGACCGAGGACAAAAGTCCCAATAATTGCCTTTTAGCATTCACATACCAGAATGACAAATGGTTCCACCTCTCAATTCCAACTCCTCACCCCCGCCTCCACCCCCAATCCCCACCTCCTGCGCAGACTCCCCTGGCACTCAACCCCTCCTTCCCTTTGCCCCGCCCCCCCGTCCGCCATTTCTCCCAGACAAGCAGCCACACCCCTTCTCCTGCACTGAAGGGGGAGGGGGCGGGGCGAGGGTGCGGCGAACGCTGGATGGGACGCGGGACGAGGGATTATCGTGAACAATCTAGTGTCCCTCTCTTATGACCACCCGCCCTTCAGCCCAAGCCCCAGCGCCTAGGGCTAGCCTTAGCCTGCAGAATAGGGGCCCCAATATCTGTCCTTTCGGTTTGAGGGTCGTGATTTTCCACTGTTTCTCCGCTCTGGGCTCCGCCTCCTACCCCCCACCCAAATCTCCCGTTAACCGCCATTTCTCCAGCAGCGTACCCGAACTCCTTTCCCAGGACGGAAAAAACGGGGGTGAAGGGTTGTGTGGGTCGGAGGTGTCTGGAAAGCAGCCTGGGAGTTAGCACGGCAGTTTAATACCAGATTGTCTCAGGGACCCCCCCGCCTGTGAAACCCAAACAGCGCCAAACCCGCCATCTCCCCTACAGTGGCTGGCACACCCATTTCCCAGCGCCCCCAAAGGACAGGGGTTGGCCGGGGGGAAGGGAGGCTGCGGGGGCGGTGGCTGGGGAAGGTATCTGCAAAGTGAGGGTGGGAGTGAACAAGCCAGATTGTTTCCAAATTGCGTGCCCCTCCGGTCCCCCTTTCCCAACCTCCCCACTGGCCTTATGTGCGCTGCCACGTTTATTTCTCTTCCCTCCTCTTCTCAAAACAGGACGGGATGTGGGGTGCGGGGCCTGAGTGTCAAAAACAAAAACAGAAAACACTGGCTGGGAGAGGAAGTAAGCGGATTCTCCGCAAGTACATCAGAGTCGTTACGTTCCCCCCTCCCCTTCTCCCCGCCGCCCACCAAAATGAGCTGCGACTGAGCGCGGGGGTCTGGAAAGCCGGCCAGGAGCGGGCGAGGTGGAGGCGCCCGTGGCCTCAGACTCCCGCATCTCTGGGCTACCCCTTTCAGAGGTGCCAGGCCATGCCCACCCTCACACCCACCTGCCCGATCTGGGGGAATTTTCTCCTCCTCCTCCTCGCCTGGGTTAAACGCACGGCAGTGCGCAGCGCAATAGAGTTGGTACCCAGAGGAGGACGGAGGACGGCGGTCAGGGCTTTAAGTACCTTTGCCCACGTCAGCTCCTGGTCACGTGAGGACCGCATCGCCAGTAAGCTTGGGTCCCCAATTTCCACTCCCTCCAAGAACAGAGCCCTCTCCTTTACCCCTGCTCCCACCTTACCCCACCACATCAGGTCCTGTCACTCATTTTTTTTGTCTTTGAAGTCCCAGAGGCCACAAGTAGCCCCTCCAGTCTCTCATGCACTAGTGCCCACCATTTCCCTTGCAGTTGGGCCCCTGCTCCAGTAGGTAAGGGGCAGAGTGTGAAAAAGGAGACAAGGAGTGGGAGTGGGGTCTGTACTGCTGTAACACTCCTCTGTTTTGTTTTTAAAGCTATCACCACCCTTTATCGTAAGAGTGAGAAAATGCAGCAAAACAAGAGTTCAGTGTGGGACACAGCAACCAAAAAAGTAGGCATGTTTTATAAGAAAGATTTCCCACTAGTATTGGAAGGCACCATTAATTTTGGTTAATTTTTACCACATAGACAATGAATTCTGTTGGCCATATAGGAATAGTTTTCAAAACATGCTAAGGTACTTGAACATCCAAAAATGGATTTTTTCTCAACAAGGTAAGCATGTTTCCATATGATCTGTAAATTGATCCACGGAGAGATACTCAGTTGTCCGATCTTATTTATTTTGGACAAATAATTTCCTACTTTTTCTCCTTCTGGGACAGCTTTTAAGTTGGATAAATAAATGATCCTGTCTTGTTCTGTTAGAGAAATACATTTATTTAATGTTGCTAAACCATTGCTGACTGCTGCGGGAACCTTCTGTAATTTGATGGCTGTAACCATGGCAGTTTTGAACACCTGTCCCTGGATTAGGTTCCAGTTTCTTGATTCAGCTCTGGGCAAAAGGAAGAGCTGTCAGGCCAAGGAAATGACCGACAGGAGGGATGCGGAGATGGTCCAATGCTCCCCGCCCTGTGTCAAGAGGGGAGGGAGGAAGGTGCTGTCCCTCTACCCCCCTCCCTCTCCCGTATCCCAGAACCTCTCATCGCCTGCAGTCAGGCACCTGACTCTGTTGCTCACTCCAAAAGTAGACATGGACAGGTGACCAGGGTGGGAAATGTCGCCTTTACTCAGGTGACCAACCTGGGTAAATGCCTTTGGCTTCTTTCCGCCCTCCCTCCCCCACATTCCCACAGAGGGAACTCAGGGGTGCACAGAGGGATTGCTGCTCCCACATAACCCTGCAGCTGCGGGTTTCCAGGAAGCCTGGAGAAGTGATTGCTGGGGGAAGCACCCAGGTCAGCCCGCTCTGCCCTCATTCATGGTGCCCGAGTTAAGGTTGCTCCTAACACTGCTGCTACTACCACCTGGCCTGAGAGGTGCGGCCTGCTGAGCCTCTCAGCTCTGGCTTCCTTACCCAGGGCACTCAGAGAGAACCTAGCCTTGCTGCAGGGCCACTACCTGCAGCCCACGCCCGCCTCGGTGCCCGCTCAAATGTATGCTCTGACCCACTGGACTCTCCCCACTGACCATAATGATTAACCTGGAGTAGGCGTGCTTAACTGGCCACCTCTGTGGTCTACTTGAAATTGTACACAATGTTTTGTTTGTGAATGTATGTGTGGCTAAGTGCATGTTTTTCGAGAATAGAGGTTATTGACCTCCCTAGTTTTTCAAGGGGTCTGCGTTCCCTCTCCTAGATATTAATAACCAATACAATGGCTTAGGGACTCTGTGTTATCTGTAACAGTCCAGATTAAGAATCTCTTGGGGTTTTTTTTCCTGGTAATAAAAGTAATATATATTAGTGGGTAAAAATTATTCAAAACAATAAAGAAATATATAAAGTATACAGGGAAAGAGCTCTGTGATATTTTTTCCATTCCCAACCATTGCTAACAATCTCCAGTTTTCTTTTTATTCACATATTAGTAAGTGTATTTGTGCTTATTTATCAAGATCCAAATTGAGCAACAATAAACAAATGGTAAGCATTTGGAATTAGAATTGTAATTGCAATAAATCTGCAGATTAATTTGAGGAGCGTTAACATCTTAAAACTGAGACTTCTGCTCCAGGAGTATGGTATGTCTCCATTTTGCTGAGATTTATTTTTATGTTTGTTAATCAAATTTCCATAAGTTTCTTTAGCTAAGTAATTCCTATTACTTGTTAGGTTTTTCCTAGGTATTTAGTAGTCTTTGTTGCTGAAATGCTATTCCTTTGTCCATCTACAGTTTCTGGTAGGTAATTTTCTGCTTTAGGAAAATGTTCTGCTATTATATATTTATTTCATATATGCCAATTTTTGTGATCTGTCTTATGAATTCCAGTAGTTTTCAGGTGATACCTTTGGTTTTTCCAGGTATGTATACATAATCATCTGCAAATGAAGATTTTTTCATTTCTTCCTTTCCAATATTTCTACCTTTTTTTCCTTTCCTTTTCTGCATGCGTTACATTAGCCAGAACCTCCAGAACTGTGGTGAGTAATGGTGGTACTTGAGAACCACCCGATCCTATTCTTGAAGGAAATGAGAATGCCGCCTTTGTTTCATCATTTAGCGTAACTTTTGCTCTTTCTGATAGATTCTCTCCTTTCTTCAAGGTTACTTTCACTTATGTTTACCAGTACCAGAAAAAAGTAGTACAAAGAAATAATGTCAGTGAGTGAAGGCAAGTCATAAGTTCTGTGGTCTTGGTAACCCACAAGGAGTGAGGAATCTGCCAGTCAGAAGAGCCTCTGGTATATGTTCTTCATCAGGTTAAGGATATTTTCTTTTATATCTAATTTAACCTAACCAAGAATGATTCATTAAATTATGTATAATTCTTTACTTCATAAACGAAGTTTCCTTCTCTTGCTATTTAACTAATAGTTTTTTAAAATTTAGGAATGGGTAAGTGTATCAAATGCTTTGATTGTAAGGTTTCCTTTCTCCTTCATTTTCCTGCTGTAACGAATGATGTAGATAGACCAGTCTCCCTGTCACTGTAGTCTCCCTATAGTCTATTCTCAACACATCCCCTTTGTTCAAACTCCCCACCCACTTCACATGATGTTTAGAGTAAATGCAAATGTCCTTGGGACAACTGACCAGGTCTTATTCTATTCAACCTTTTTACCTCTCTGCCTCTTCTTCTACTGCTTTCCCTTTGGCTCAGCCATCCTGGCCTCCTTGATGTTCCTGAATCATACTGGCTTGTTGCCTTCACAGAGCCTTTGCACTTGCTTGTCCTCCTGCCTGTGAGATTCTTCCCCCAGATATCACCATACTTAGATCCCTCACTGACTTCATCTCTTTACTCAAAGGTCACCTTTCTAGTGATTCCTTCCCTGGCCACCCTATTTAAGAGTTCAACCCATCTCAACTCTTCATTTCTTCTTTTCCTGCTTTTAATATTTTTTTTAGTATGGATCACTAGCAATATACTATACATTTTGTTTATTTATCTTGCTTATTGTTTCTCTCACTACAATGTAAGGGCCATGAGATTAGAGATTTAGGTCTGTTTTATTCACTGCTGTAACCACAGCATTGAGAACAAGGCATCACATGTGGTAGGTGCTCAGTAAATGTGTTGAATAAGTGAGTAAATGAATGGCTTTCAAACACTGAATCACTCTCTTGCATTCCAGAAACAAAGCCTAGTTGGTTATGCCACATTAGCAGATTTGTAAACTCTCAAATGAGTTTTTACCTAAATCAGGGTCTTGTCATGTGACAAGATGTAGAAGACATTACAATTTCTTTGAGTGGCATGTGTAAAACTCATTATGTACTGAGAATGATTGTTTATGATACATACTTTTTTTTTTTAAAAAAAGTGAATCTTTTTTCTTAAATAAAAAATAGTTCTATCATATTTTCCAATAATAAAAATAATACATATTTGTGTTTTAAAAAAAAAGGAACAGAATAGTGCTAACAAGAAAGTCACAAAATCCATTCCTTCTTTCTGTTTCCTTTCCTGACACCCTTCCCCCATCCCTATCTCCAGGTATTTTCAGGGCTGGGGAAGTGAACATTAGTGATTCTGAAGATAAAAGCTGGAGGGAACACAGAAAAGGATGGGACAATTCCCCCAGAAGCAGTAGAATTGTCCAGTAGCCCAGGAGAAGATGCTGCCCCTTCCAGTAATAAAAGAATGACATGTTTGTTGGGTGTGCAAAGACTAAAAAGAGTAACCGTGTCCTGTCGGGGGTGGCGGGGGGGGGGGGGGGTGGGCCACTCTCTGCTTTGCTACTATTAGGAGGGGAAATTTGGGACCCGAACTCACCAGTGATGTTACCTCATGAGACCAGGAGCCTATATGCTGAAGTCTTGGTCTAGATAGTGGTTCCTGGTTAGGTAACCAGCTCCGTGTTTCCTTGGAGGTGGCATGACTGTGGGCAAGGAAGAAGGAGGAGGATGAGGAGGAAACCCATCCTGGTTCCTTTAGGTCTGCATAAGGCTGGGTGGTGATTGGAGACTCCTGGAGTGAGGGTGGAGAGTAGCAGCACAATTTTCCAGTTTGGAGGCACTTCTCTGTTTCCCCATGGAAACACCTGAATCCAGCCTCTTTTTCATTTGGTGTTTTGTTAAAGG